AAAAGGTGTCCTAGTTCAGCGGGCCTCGGACCGGTACCGGGCCGCAAGAGTTGAGGCTCAGGTGTGTGAAATGTATGGTTTTCAAGGTTTTTATCGGTTTTCAGCGTTATTTTGTTATCGTTTTTATCGTTAACTCTGTTTTCCTGGGTCTTTTCACGTGTGTTATGAATAAATCTTCTTTTTTTCAGTACCGGTACTAGTTTTATTTTGTTGTATTTACCCGCGACACCTTAAAGGCCGGTCCGTGAAAATATTGTCGGGCATAAACCGGTCCGTGGCGCAAAAAAAGTTGGAGACTGCTGTCCTAGTTTATGGCTGAACCATTTATTGTGTTAAAAACTCAGTTCATTGAATGTATAAGGATGAATATTCTTCCACGCCTATTATTCCTATTTCAGCACCTACTCATTTTGATCCCACAGTCTGCATTCAAATTATTAGAACGCATTACATCCAAATTTATCTGGCAGAATAAACGACCAAGGGTCAGACTCAAAATGTTAATGTCTGGAAAGGAAAAAGGGGGCCTCAAGTTGCCTAACTTCAGAATGTACTACTGGGCAGCTCAATTAAAATCAATGGCTGCCTGGATTATTCATGATTCAGAAACGCAGTGGGTATCTATGGAAGAGTATTCCTTACCAGGTATCTCCCTTCGGAGTCTCCCATTTCTCAACCCCCAATCACAGAAAAAGATTAAAATAACTAACCCATGGGTCAAGCATACCGTAAATATTTGGAACCAAGTGTTAAAAATGCTAAAAGGGAATTTGACCATGTCTCGAGCTGTTCCCATAAATGGAAATGTCGAGTTTCTTCCATCATTGTCAGATTAGAGTTTTGAGAGGTAGGCGGAGAAAGGATTGATTACAGTCAATCAGCTGTTTGAAAAGAATACTCTTAAAAGTTTTGCCCAGCTAAGGGCTAAATATCCTTTATCCCCAGGGGACCACTATAGATACTTACAGTTAAGGGACTACATTACAAAGCATAAAGACTGGGACAATATTAGAAGAGAACCAATCGGGTTGGAAAACCATTTTATAAAACTGCTTGAAAAGTCAGGTACATTGAAAAACCAAGTGTCTTTGATCTACCAGAAACTGCTGATTGACATGTCTGATAATGCCTATCATATAAAACAACAATGGGAAATGGAGCTCAATATAATGTTGGATGATGTCACATGGGAGAGTGTCTGTTGAGGCTGCCATAGAGGGGTGGGTAGTCAAATGTGGAAGGAATTTGACTGGAAGGTTAAATTAAGATTTTTTAGAACTCCACTGAAAACCTTTCTATCCAAAAGTAGTGTCAGTGATAAGTGTTGGAGAGGGTGTGGGTTTGTGGGGGACCAGACGCATATTTTTTGGGACTCTGTTTACATACAACAGTACTGGATGGATGTCAAGAACATTATACAAAGCATATTGTCAGTCAACCTCCCAATGGATCCCCTGATCTTTTTGTTGGATATCTTTCGTGATGGTTTCTCCTATGAGCAGCACTTTCTCCTGCATCTCCTCCTTATGACTGCAAGAAAAATGATAACAATTCACTGGCTCAAACCAGAAACACCCACGGTTGCCAGTGGCTTCTGAAAACTAGACGTGTCTATACGATAGAAATGATAACAGCTCAACTACAACTAAAAGTGCCAACCTTTGAGAAAAAATGGAGACTAATTATAAAATATCTTGAAAGGACACTCAAGCCTTAACATTGTTAAATCTGTGCTTAGGTATTGGTATGTATGTATCTGTATATGTGTATATATGTTTTTTCTTTTCAATTAAGTTTTTGAATAACCCCCACCATTATATGCAGCAGATTTGGTCTCAGGTCATGTTGTTGATGTGAATTGCCTTGTTATTTTTGGCAATAAAAGTTAAAAAAAAAACAAACAACCAAAACTCAGTTCAATTCAAGCTTTTCTTTATATAGCATTTGTATAGCACCAAATCACAACAACAGTTGCCTCAATGTGCTTTATATTGTAAGGTAAAGACCCTACAATAATACAGAGATATTTCCCAACAATTGGATGACTTCCTATGAGTAAGCACATGGCGACAGAGGGAAAGAAAAACTCACATTTAACAGGAAGAAACGTTTGTCAGAACCAGGTTCAGGGAGGGACGTCCGTCTGCCGTGATGGCTGAGAAGACACAAGTTAGCTTTAAACCATTGCTATGTTTCAATTTAGCATTTTTTGCCTTTAAAACAAAACTACAAACCTAAAGCTATATTACCATCACTTTATTAAGGGAATGAGATGTTTTATTTTTTTTAGAATCTCATCATAGTACAACACTTTGCAAAAGTTTTGAGTTACCCCTCATTTCAGTGATTTACTCGAGTGTGCAAACATACATGGAAATGCAGTTTCTAAGGCAACAACAATCCTAAAAAGACCATCTCGGTATGGCCACCTTTATTTAGGAATAATCCTCTGGGTTTCTTTCAGGGCCTTCCAAAGTTCTGTAGATGCTGGCTACACACTATTTCAGAAATGGTCTAAGCGAAGCTCTCAATTTACCGGTCAGTCTACGTCCCTACCCTCACCTGTGGTCATGAGCTGTGGGTAGTGACTGAAAGAACGAGATCGCGGATACAAGCAGCAGAAATGGGCTTCCCCCTCCGAGTGGCTGGCCTCTCGCTTAGAGATAGGATAAGATCAGCCATCTGAGAGGGGCTCAGAGTAAAGCCGCTGCCCCTCCACATCGAAAGGAACCAGTTGAAGTGGTTTGGGCATCTGACAAGGATGCATCCTGGGTGAGTCTGGGCATGTCCCACCACTGGAGGAGGCCCCGGGGCAGACCCAGGACATGGGCCTGGGAACACCTTTGTGTTCCCCCAGACAAGTTGGCCGAGGTGGCTGGGGACAAAGAGGTCTGGGCTTATCTGCTTAGGTTTAGGCTGCTGCCCCCGCGGCCCTGGATGGGTGGATGGATGGAATGGACTGGTAATTATATAGCACCTGTCTGCTAAAGTTGAGCACTCAAAACACTTCCTCCTACAAGTTCACCCAAACACACACTGAGACTTATTTATTATTCAGTTAATTTATTATTCATTTATTCAGTATCTAAGGATACTTTGACGTGCAGACTGGAGGAGCCACAGATCAGTTCACCAACCTTCCAACTGGTAGATGAGCATGATGTCACGAGAGGGGGCGTGGCCAGGATTTCTGGTTGAGGCGCCATCTTCCTGGGCCAAACTAAGCTCAAGTGAAAGCACCCACATCAGCCATGGTTTGTACTTGCTGTGCGGTCGGTTGTAATGTTAGATCGCACAACAGGTGTTGTGCCAAAAAGTGATTGCTCGTATTTAAACTGCTATAAGTAAGTGTTGTCCTATAATATGTGAAACATATGTCAAATGCATCCCTTATGGATGACATAAAGTCATCTTGAGCCACAAACAACATTCGTGTAACAAGGTAGAAGCCGCAATCAGTTTTTGGCAGAATTGGTGATTGCGTACCAGTGAGTGCTGGTACTCAATCAGCTGCCTGACAGCCAACGATTTGGGGCAAACCAATGTGACAGGTTAGGGGAGTTTCATCAAAGTATTTCTAGTCCAAATGATTAATGAATTATTTCTAGGAAATTGTATGTAAATATTTATTCTGTAGCTATGTCACAGATACTCACCTGGGTCAGACTGTAGTGCATGAAAGGAGCTCCTTTCACTGACATGTGCTTTAATAGGAGTCTTAGTCCAAATAGATGACACGGTGATACAGACGGGGGTCTCTCACTCTGAATGTCCAACAGGGACATTCAGAGTGAGAGACTTCATTTCTAAAAGCACTACTTGTACTATTGTATTACTTTTTGTCAAAGTTCCTGCAGTGTATAAACTGTAGACTCATTAAAAGCCCTCTATCACTTCCCTAGACAGAAAACATTTCATTTCTTAATAATGCTTCTATTATGAAACATCTGCAGGAGCTTATTGTTTATTAGCCAAATAGGGTTTTGTTTTGTTTACCAATTATGCAAAGCAGGAAACAAACACCTTTGGGTGTATCTCTCCTCTTACTGGTTACAAAATCATTATGTAACACAATTAGGGAGACGAAGATGAAGATGAGGCTGTCCATAACCTTGATGTAACATTTGATTATGTACTCAGTTGCAGCCGGTATTGCAAGTAATCTTGTAACGTTGCACAGCCTTCCACTAAAGCTACAACGCTACTGAGCATGGCTGTGTGGGCATATATGGTGTCCTCAGCACCTATACGTGGCAGAGGCCTCAGCGCATCACTGATTAGCTGCTGCCTGTGACAAAGTGGGTGAGCAGTTAGAAATCTTTAATACTCACCACTTGTCTCAAATATTAACTTTTTACACCAAAGCAGTTTATTCTCTACATGTGCTGTTTTGCCCGTGAATCTCTTCGGGTCAGCTTCTGTTGGTTAAATGTGCTTTAGGCTATAAATAAGACGTGACACACTACACATGAAAAGGTTCAGATATTTTTCACAGTGCATGTTTGAGCTGTTTTGCAAAAAAATAATAATTTTACACAATTCAGTGAGCTACATGCTGAACTTAGGAGATGTGAGCTGTGTGGGGTGTTTTTACGAGTTAATCTGGGGAGTTTTTGGTTTCAGTTTCACATGTCACAGTCATCACTGTGAATGAACTACACATGCTGTCCCCAGTTTTCAAATCTCTGGCTTTTGTTCACGAGGAGCCACCTTTTAAAATGTCCTGTAACTGTACGAGTAGGTCAACTACCAATCAAGTGATGTCACAGTAATAATTGTGAGTCTGCTTTCAGATGTTCCCAGTGATCCATGTTAGCTTTGAAAGGGCAGAGGGAAATTTCAGATTCTACTTTGCCCTTTGCCTGCAGTGACATTTCCAAAGCTCATGACAGACTGTTCAGACGCTTCACTTGCAGCAGGTCTATTCTCAATGCTCACATGACGACCCTATTTCTGTCTGGTCCCAGCCCAGAGGGAGGAAACACACCAGAGAACCCAGGTTTGTTTTTTAGAAAAAATACTTTATAAATCATGCAGTCGGTCCATGTTTTTCAACACAAACAAAACGTCCTTTCCACATTGCATGAAACAAGCTGACACAAATCCATAATCATACTCTTTAACAGCAGTGTGTAGCTCTAATGTGATCTTAAAACTAGTATTTACACACTTACACTTCACATGAAGCCACCTTAGTTAGCATTCATAAGCAGTAAAGCGGTTATAGTAAGCAGAGAAAAGGCAAATGCAGAGCAGTGTATAAACATGACGATACTGATACAGCAACACTGATGGAGGAGTTCCCCCAGTGCTGTAAAACGACATTGTATTAGGAATACTGCTTCTAAATGCTAACATTGGCTCCCAGAGTGAAGTGCTTGCATTTACACCTAAACTAAGTAATAAATATGATAAAATGAGTCTATTGTTCCTTTACAAATGAAGATAAATATGTTGCCAGCAGGTCTGGAGGCACTCTGTGGGTGCTGTGTTGGACAGGTGGAAGGTTTCAGGTCAGCGGACTCATCACGGAAATGCAGCCCCATTTTATCAAACCGCTACAGGTAACATGCTGGTTGTGTGATGGTAAAAGCCATTTCTGACTGAACAATGAGCTGTTTGCTAATAATAATGATCACAGTGCACTCTCTGAATCAATGTGTTGCATTTAAACATTCAATATCTCTTCTTTAGGTCAGCATTTATCAGGGTTGGTATCATTTTCTCACGGTTTTGTTTCATGATCAACAGAAAGTCTTGCCGCACAGTTGTATTCCCTTGCAGCCAATTCCCTTTTTATTGATTTGTATTTGCCTACAAAACATATCACCGCTAATTCAGCACAAACTAAGTTACCTTTAAATAATCCTTACATGCACACAAACACGTGATCCTGCAGAACCAGACACCACTGATTAAGAAGTCAAGGCTTCGCTTTTCCAATTGGCTGGTGGGATGCGATTGACATTCATAATTAACTGAAAGGTGCCAGTGTGAAGCAAAGCAACAGTAGGGGTGACTGAGCCAGCATGTGCAGGGCTACGCCCCTTTACATTCTCCATAGAGCTCACTTAGCTCTTAGTTTATTTTTACTGGGCTGTGAGGGGTCAACACTGAAGGAGAACCACTCTGACATCAGTCAGAGGTCAAACATGAAGCACATTTATGACCATATATGGAGGCTGCTAATAACATGGTGGGAGATGATGAATGAAGCCAAAGCTGAATTGCCTAACAGTGCATTTCCTGTAGTGGCCACTTAAAGCTGGCCCCAGAAGTGAGCCAATCCTCGTGGACTTCCATGTTAAAAATGCTAAGAACAAACTTTACAGCAGGACAAAAATATGTTTACAGCCTGGTACAAAAAAAGAGACACACTTTAAATGAGTGTATGACTTGTCCACTTAGAGAGTGGCTACTTTGAAAGAAGTTGTGGTCAGTCAGGGTCCACTACATCTCATTGAAAGGGACTTCTTCTTACCAAAACATCAGAGTAGTTTTGATTAGTCACAGAGTGTTACTGAGCACTAATGTAGCTTGCTCACTAAACCAGCTCTTCCTCAAACATGGTAACATCTTGCTCCAAAAACAAATAAACAGAACTGTGACTGAAGATGGAGCCACTTCAGCACGTAATGTAAAGCTTTTCTTTAAATCTAAAAAAATCCTCAGTTTCAAACTAGCTAATCTGCATACAGCAGGAGTTAAATCAAAAACAACACTACAACCAAAAATAATTCTCATTAGTTTGATAAAATGAGCTCCTGCCTAGCAGCTGCTTTGGGCCCTGACATCAGCAGTGGGTTTTACATGCTTGCTCGGCTGCATTCAGCATGACTACAACACACCGCTGCTATTGCACACTTAAGCCCAAATATCTCCACCCACTGCTGTTGAAATTGAAAAACCATTTAAGTAATGATAGAAGTCCAGTGTCCATCCACACTGAAAATAAAGCAGCTAAATAACAGGAGCTTAGTCTGTCAGCAGTTAGACATCCAGCGAGTGTCTAATCTGCTGGCCATGATACAACATGTTGGTTTGTTTTCAGAATTTCTGTTAAAACAGGGGATTCATAACAGTCTCTGTGCCCCAACATGGGCACATGGCAGGACTCTGCTCTACCTTTGGTACAAAGATATGGGATTTCAGTGGTGTTGGTTCTGACTTCCATTACTCATACTACACTATTATGGAGTTTGCCACAAAAAAAAGAAAGAAAAAAGATTTAATATAAACGCCAAAATACCAGGATGTTCTACAGTATCCAGAGGGGGTACGGAGTATGTGTGTGCTTTTCTGGCCATTCTGACCTACAACACCATGCCAGATACAGCGAGAGGGTCAGAGTTCAAGGTGCAATGTTATGGCACAGTATGTCCCAGCTGTGTGCACACTACGTGCAACACTATGTACTTCAGTAAAGTGCATTTTGGAAGGCAGGAAAGCTTTCCGGCATTTGGGCATTATTAGTAACCTTGTGCTTCCCTGAAACTGCGTCACTTGTTTTGGCGTCACTACATCCTGTATTGTCTCTCACTGGGACCTTTTTTCTTCTTTCTTTATGTCTTTCATTTTTTAAATTTTATACTTTACATGTCACGTTGCTGTACATTCAGTGAATTTCTTCTGCTTTTATTGTGATGTTGGTCTAATGCTCTTCCCTTGCCTCTGTGTTTGGAATATAAATTAAGCTGCCTTTCCATTTCCATTGCATTAAAAGAACCATACGGGGTGAAAAATGTTCAAGTGGTGCTCATCAGCAGACTAGGCTAGCCACAATAAATGTTTGCTTTCACAATCCTCAATTTCTGTCAGTAAATATTGAGAAAAGCCCTGCGTGTTTTGACACAGTGCACTGCAATGTCTTCAAATGTGCGACCAACAGTCCAAGACCAAAAAAATCTTCAGTTTCACAATCATTTTGACAAAAGACAACACAACACACACTCAAGCAGCTGGAGCCTGTGTTTTTTTTCTTTCTAAAGCTGCTTTTCCATTCAGTGTCCAGAGTTCCAGGAACTAAACTGTTCCTTCATACAGATTAGCAGCAAATTAGTCCATTTATAAATAGGTGACAGCTGGTTTAGCATTAGACTGTACACAAAAAAAAGTCCAGTAGTTGGTGGTAATTCAGTACTCCAGAGTACGCCACCAATCACACGCCACACTCCCCTCTGACGTTCCTGTACTTTTGAGAAGTGTAAGCAGAAACTTTTTCCTCTGGAACTTAACCTACACTCTGGTCCATCTGGTGGAAACACAGCTTACTTAAAAAAAAAAAAGGTTTAAATTATTCAGCAGCTTCCAGAATAATTTCAGTCATTGTCTGGCTCCAGCTGAACTCTTTGCTTTCCTGTGTCATGTGTGAAACTGAATATCTTCATGTCTTAGGCTGTTAGGTGCAGGTAAATGTAACGTTAGAGAATCTGTGTGCAAAAGTAAATATCTGAATAAACTCTGCATGTTGCAGCTCATCATTGCTTTGTCTCAGTTTTCAGTTGTGTGCCTGCAGCCCTATAGCTAATGTGTACAGAAGTGATGACGCACTGGCCTGACGCACCGTGGGGCCTCCATTTGACCTGCGGGCTCAGTTTCACCACCAGATCAAGGTCTGATACAGGAACCTGCATTAGCACCAAGGTGAAAATCAGCTGGAGGATCCACACCAGCTTTAAAATCTGACACAGGAAATGGTTTCATTGTTGTGAGAAAGGCACTTTCAGTTGGAACACAGTCTCTTTTCGGGCTCTCTGACGTTGTTGTTTATGGGTCCGTGTTTGTGCAGCAGAAGGAGGTTGTCGCTACGTGTGGTGGACCTCGTGGAACATGAGCTCGCGCGGGATGGGCGTCTCGGCTCCGTAAACACTGGAGGCACGCCGCTCGAACGCAGAAACCATCTGCTTCACCACCTCATCGAAGAACACGTGAGCGAGCTGGGAGTGGATGAGGGAGCGAAATTCAAAGGAGATCTGAGGAGGAGGAGACGGTAAAGTTAGCAGCTGAGTCTCTAACTTTGTGACTGTATGAAACACATGATCACAGAGCACATTCTCACATAGTGGACATTTTCCAGTATGTTGCCCTGCAACAAGCTGTTTGTACTTACAGCAAAATCCACAGTGCAGGTCCGGGGGTACCCAGGGAGGCCAGGGCTGAAACGCCACATCGTCTCCAAGTGGTTGAACAGCTTACCCTCTGAGCACGATGCCTGAAAAGCAACATGTACAAGTTTTCTGCGGTCAGTCAGCAACAGGAGAGACATTGCATTTGTGAATTGCTTAGAGCAACAACTGTGACTTTACAGCCTCAGAAAACACTGCAAACACCCTCTGAGCAGCCAAACAAAGGAAAAAGAATTTCCAGCTGAACTTTGCACCTAATCCCAGCTTCAAAGACGGCCTGTTTTGACTAGGGTGATATTTACAGTTTACACTCTCACACCCAAAAAGTGTGGAGTGCTTCTCACTCCAGCCTGAATGATTTTCAGTCAGTGTGATAGTTCACCAATCAGGGCAGTCTGTTCTATTTACATTTTACAGACATTGAATTTAAGGCTGATAACCCTGCCTCGCTGAAAAGAGCAGATAGTGTTGCAAATGTCTCTCGCACCTTTCACACCTCAGAGAGGTGCCGTCTGAGTGTTATCTTGTAATGATATTCACACCCACCTCAGCCTTTGTTTGTTCAGCTTTGCTGAGGTGAGACAGGGGCAGGTATTGTCTCCTCTTTTTTCAATTGTTATTCAGCTATTTGTGCCAGCCTTCACGTCTCTGTGACAGCCAGCTTTTTACACCCCCTTCTTGTGTGGCCAACTTTCCATCACATGTTGTGTAATGACAACAGGGATAAATAACGAACGAGAGGAAAATATACAACGTTGCAGGAAGACGTTAATCAGGACTTAACACAGACAGCCCTTTTCCACTAGTACCCACTTGTCTCGACACGACAGGGTTTTTAGGATTCTCCATTAGGTGGTAGTACCTGGTACAGGGCAGTTTAAGTAACAACTTGGTCGGGCTTTCAAGCAATCTGAGGCGATCCAAAAAGGTGACAACGACAGACTGTGTGCCACGCATTGGCCAGTCAATGGCGTCATTCACTGAATCATTAGAGCACTTCTTTCACAAAAATCAATACCACCATTTTTAAAACCCAATAATGAGGAAAAACAGCTCCAAAAAAACAAAGCAACACAGTGGTCCCCGAGTCTGACAAAAAGCAATAGATCAACCATCATCCTGTGATGTCAGACTTTCTGCCATGTTTCTATAATGCTCCCATACACATTAGGTGGTACTCCACTGCAATGGAAAATGACGGTAACCTAGTAGAGTCCAGCTGAATAGGCACCAAGAGTGTCTCCCCAGCACAGACCGCGGGCCTGTGTTGACTAGCTGCAGACCTTTTTCTTTTTCTTAACACTTTAAAGCCTGAACCATGAAATAACTGCCAGAAAACTCAAAATATTGTAAAATGGAATGTTTATTGAATAGGCTGACGACTTCATACAGCTACTATGAAGGTTACTAAATGGGAGCTCATGCTTTGTCGTGCCAATCTTCATTCAAAAACCGTATCCTGACTTTGACTTGAAACCAGCTTAATCTGTGACGTCCATCTAAATTAATTTTTCATTCTTACCGTTTTAGTCTGTTTCTTTTAGATTGAGTGTTTTCCTTTACCTACTCTGTGTTTTCCTAATAATGTCACAGTACTAACATCAACAGTGGATGTTTTTTAACCATGAGCTTGAAGCAGTAACTTACCTTGACCAGGTGAGGGCGTACTGTAGTGACAAGGGAGGTGTAGTTCTCCACTACAGGGGGGAAGCCCACGGTTAATTTGGCCTTGCAGAAGCCGGATCTCTTGAAGACCACCTCAGACTTCTTGCACCAGGGAACAAAGAGGCGGTAGTTTTCCACCTCAGCCACCACTTCATAGATCTCCTGCATGGAATACCTGCAGGGACACGGAAACAGAGAGAGCGAATATGTTAACGCAAGGCTGCACATCACCAAGGAGATGAAGGTCAGCAACTGTGTGACAAGACACCAACCACAATACAACAGCGTTGACCCAGAAAAGGCTCAAATAGGTCAGTTGGGGATGTTGGAATAAGGGCAAAAGAAGAGCAGTAAAGCACACAAAACAAAAGTCGGAGGTGTTGAATGACAGACACGTACAGACACTGTGTTACATAACTCCAGACGTCCAGCTGAGGGAAAATAGCTGCCAGTGCCCATGTCTATTTATACAAGCAGATTTAGTGATTATGACCTCTCTGAGGAGCACAGGAGGACATTTAGTGCGTCACACACACACGTAGGGTACAGATACAGAGACCAGACTCCCAACACTCACTGGTACACAGGGCATTTCAGAGCAGCTGAGCGCACCGCATGTTGCCAATACTGGAGATCACTGACATTGGTGCATTATATCATATTTTGGACCTTCAATTTCAGCCCTTGTAGCCGTGTGGTTTGGTTACATTTCATCTCTTCTGCAATGGACATAAAAGCTCAGCAGCAGGACAACCCAGACGTAAAGTCTGATTAGATATCACAGAAAGACACTGAGAAGTAATTATGGATATTGATTAAGATTTTCTCTTTGTTGGTGGCATTATTGATTGTGCTCATAGGTCCAGTTCTTTATCAGTGCCATTACTGATTTCTGATCATTTTGCTGTGTGTGTGTAAACGTGTTTTTCAGCTGTTTTTTATCTGTGAGTCAGAGCACAGGATAGAAATAGAAGTCAAAGGGCTTGCGTGTGACTCAGGCATGCTACAAATCATGACGTCATTGTTTAACAATGTGCTACCGCCAAAAACCGATGCCAGTTATGAGAGGAATTAGAAAGCTTGGAGCCATTCTGATGGATGAATGTTTTTCCATCCTTTTTCAAAAGCTGCCTGTGAAACTATTTTTAAGTTTTCTTGAGGGTCAGAGTATTTCAGTCAAACAAACACAAACAGGAGCTAAAGATATATTTTAAGGACTTTAAGTGGTTAAATACAAGCTGGGGAAAAAAACACTCGCAGGAGAGAGCTGAAAAAACTGTTTCTATACAAAATACAAGTTTTTGCCCGCAGATACCGTCTCCTCCTGAGATAAAAATCCTGTCCAAACGTGTCTTGAGGCAAAAAATAAATTAATTTAAAAATAAAAATGACAAAAACACTGTAAGTGGATCCAGACTAACCCAATGATGCGTCTCTCTGAGTACTCCTTCTTCTTGGAGAAGGAATCTGCGAGGTTGAAGAAGCTGCGTGAAGGCAGTGTAATGGGGCGCCCTGGCACGGCTGCACTCAGCAGTGGGTGCGCACGCATCATCAGGATCCCGCATGATGAAAGGTATCTGATGACCAAACAAAAAACAACAAGTCACCAACAACGCAATAAGCTCTCAGAAAGCAGAGGAGACCAGGGTGCATCGATCTGTTGTTCTCAGTTTGGAAAGTTTGTGTGATTTGACCCAGTCTAACAGCAGAGATCAGAGAATGGCCAGCACAAGCAAGTTTTGACACAACATTGACATTTCATTATTCTTTAAATTCCTTTTAACACAACAAACAGGGTGTGACTGTGTTTGGTCTGTGCTGCCTGCAGTGGGAAATACTGGACTGTTAAGTACCCACAGCTCATGCCTCTCACTGTGGGTTCTTCTTCATCTTTACTCTTGCTCAGGCTAAAGCACACAGTGAAGCACATGTCATGCTCCTGCACCAGACTGTGGCCTCCCTCGTAAAACGATATAAAGAATGTTAGGCACCCAGAAACATTAAGAAAAACTTTTCTTTAATTCCCCTTCTGGCCTCAAAAGCCAGACTGAGAGACAACTGTTTCCTCCTCTCCATTTCGTACTGTGAAAACGTTCCAGTAGCTGCTGTTATGACATCAAGAATGTTTTTAACTCCTTTCTGGATCAACATTCTGCCAGCTACTCAAAAAACTGCTGTTTCTCATCCAAAAAGGTCTAGTTTTTACCCAAACAATCTGAGGCCACAGAAAGCTGCTTAATGACAGCGAGTAGCCTCTGAGTTTTATAAAACACCCCAAATTCTCTTTTTCTGTCAACACCCAGGAAACAGCCATTCTGTTTAAATAACTCAACTGTCAGGGGATAAAGTCTGCAGGAACTCGGTGCTTCCATTCTCATGATGGCCAGTTGACTGACCCGTGCAGTGTCCGAGGTTCTAGTTGGAAGAGAGCTCATTTAAACACCGAGGGTAGTATATAACTATCACAGCGTCTGCAATACAAAAGCTTCCAGGTGGAACTCGCATCCTGGAGTTTCTGTTCCTGGAGGCTTCAGCATAAATAGATCTCTGACAGGAACTGTCTGGGTCACAGGAAGGAGTCAGTTGAAAAGCCGTTTTAATGTTTGTGCCTCCACTCTTGAATGTGTTTTGTCCTCAGGGTGCACAGCTGTAATATTTTTCATAATCAAGCTAAGCGGGACAGGAAGTCCTGATCTATACCAGCATATAACCAGCTGATTATCCTGCAGTACCTGTAAACATAGCCCAGCCCCAGCCTGGGGAGAGGAAACTCGCCACGCCTGCCAAGCATTTGTCACTCAAATAAAACAAGTCACACAAATACAGATGGCAGTAACGTAACAAGGTCAAGGACAATGATTTTACTTTAAGCTTTGGAGGGGAGGGTCTGTGCAGACACCTTTGTGACCAACTATCCATGTAACCCAGGTGGGAGACGGCAAGCAGACTTCAAAGAGATAGAACAGGAATGACTACTCAGCCATTTGATCTCCAGGTCTCTGTGTCTGCATCTTACAATAATCAAGATCTTAGATTAGAATATTTTCTCACTCGTTCAAGATTTCCTCACTGTGAAAGTTAATCTACAACTATTTGAATGAGTGATCTTTAAAGTCTCTTTTGAGACCTAAAAAATTTCTTTGTTTGATTTTTCTGTGGTGGCTTTTTTTTTGGTTTGTTTTAGCAGTAAATTAAACATGATTAGCAGTTCTAGGCAGCTGATCACACACAAAAAAATCATTAACTAGTAAAATGAGTTAAGTCTTTACATACACTTCCCTCCTTTTCTCATTTCTCAACATTTTTTTTCCAGGCTGTTTTCTTAGACTGTTAAGACTGTCTTACACCTCACTGACTAAAAGGCTCGACTTGTTCCAACTTGTCATAAATATCTGTGAAACAATTCATGATGTTAACTGATGAAAAATAAAAAGGGTTGCTAAATGGTGATAAGAAAAAAATGTGATAATTAGTTCATACTTAAAGTGGACCTACATTTTCAGCTTCAATTTTTTGTTCTTAAACAACTGAATAGATCACAATTATCCCTGTACATATTTCACAGGTACAGTTACACATGTAGTTCATCCTCTGTCTCACACAAGCCTTTTAGTTGAGTTGGTTTAGTTTAGCTCTTTTCTTATGATTGGTTGCACCCTCATAAATATTTTAACAGTAAATGTTTTAGAGTGGTCTCTTTTTGTTAAGAGTGAGCACCTGTAAATTAATGACCATATTTAAGATAGATACATAAGATGGAAAATAAAGAAAAAAAAATGCTATGTACCCTTTAAAATAATCGCCCTACATTGTTCGGTGATTCATTACTTGAACGCTATAAAGCTCTTAACATCACATCAGCATTTGTTTCCAGCTTCTACAATGTGATGATTAGCTTATATTTATAATGTTATATTGATATAAGTAAAATATATGTGGACTGTGGACAACCACAATCCACATATATTTTCTACTTTAATCAACTCTACAATTAATCAAGTACGTAATCCTTCCTCAAGGCAACATGTAGCAGTAGCTCCAGAGAAGGTTGGATCAGGTGAAAAGCCCTGCCCCAGCTCTCCCATGACACCATGAATGGGACAACTTAAACTGGCTCATAACCTTCACCACAGCAACTTAACTAGAGATCCTGTTACTCAGGCATAAGCAGCCTGTAGGGGCATTTTCATTGGCCACTCCTTAGGAGTGTGTCTAAGAGGGGTTTTTTTGTCCATTGTGGCTGACTAGCTCTGTGTTCCAGAGTACCCCTGCCACAGCATGACGGGCAGCAATTCAATAACACATCGATAATTACAATAAATTCAATGCTTTTTCAAACATTTTGGTGTGACAATATAACAAGTTAAATATGTGACAGCAATCTGCTGTTATCAGCTTAAAGTGATAGGACTTTCCTAATACCAAGAACACCAATGATTCTACACAGGTTTTAAGAATCAATAAACCAAGTCTCAACAGGCTGTGAAATAAGAAGCATAAAGGCCTGTTTGTGGCACAGGTGTGCAACAAGACTGACTCACAACTGTCAGAAAAAATATGCCAGCAATTATAAGCATTCAATGAGCTTAGAGGAATACAATTCCCACAGGTATGGAGTTTTATAACCTGTTCCCAAATGAATCAGGTTTTCCATTCCCATAGTAACTCATCCCCCACTGCATCAAATTCCAATGTACCCACTGCCCTTAAACAGGAGCCTATTCACTCCTGTTTTACTACCTGAAATATGATACACCTGACCTCTAAATGTATCCTGGGTACAGGCTGAGAATGGCCCAGAGCAAAAGGTGAATGAGACACCTCAAACTCCACAAAGGTGGAAAGCAGAATTAAACCCAAACAACAGACAAGCTGGACAATGAGTTCATGGAAGTATACAAATACACTGAGAAACTAATTAAAGTAGCACACTTTGGATTTGTTTAACACTTCTTTAGGAAAATGTAGATAAAAGCATTATCTTGTTTAATTTTAAGGGAGCAGATAATGTGCTCTTGTTTAGGCTAAGGTAACAAGTAATGTTACCTTGTGATGAGTAAATATATAGACCACATACAGTAGCAGATGCTCATACTAAAAATGACCGAATTTTCAAATAATGAGGTCGGTGTATGTATAAGTACACTGTGTGACCGAAAACCTAAGACTTCAGACTGCTCTAAACTTAGAATTTCAGATAGCCTTACTATGGTCATCTCAGGCACACAGCTCTGGCTGTGAGCAGAGACACCCACCCACCCGCTGTTCAATCAGAGGAAAGATGACTTAAAGGAGGGGGGTGGGAGATAAAATGGCTGAGAGAATGGACTGGTGATTGGATTAAGACCAATATAAGAGATAACTAGCTGAAATAGAAAAAGGAACCTAGACTAATCATCTGAAACACTGTCTGCTTAGTGACAATACGGAGTATTAAACATATCTGCATGGTTTATAATATACTCTTTCGCAGTCAGCTTTTGATGTTAAAGAGAGGCTGTTGTATAAACAGATAATGACTGACAAACAGTAAACTTAATATAATATATGCATCACATGTGAGACAATAATTGGTGAAAAGCTGCTACAGGTTCTGGTGATGGTCTCATTTACCAAATGGGACTTAACGATTTTAGGAATATTTTCAGACTGTACCTGCATGTCGTTTTTACTACACTGTTTTGCAAATCACAGATAATCGATGCTAATCGTTACGATGCTTCTAAGTTTTTATCGTGGGGATTTAAGTATGTAAAGTCTTCAACTTGGCTGTGCTATCAGCAGTGGTGGGACGTAAAAGAAAAAAACCCACTACGCAGACATAGTAATAATTAATGAGCCTGGTTTATAATCAATACATAAATTATCGCGCATTTTTGTAGTTTACGCTAAGACTGCTGCTGCCCACAGGAGAATGCATATAGTCCAGTAAAAGAAACTGAAATCAGCTTTACTTTTCTATGCGTGAAAGTGAAAGAGCGACAATTTAATGTTTCAGTGAATATAAATTATTATGTAATGTGGTATGCGGCTTATCACTGCAACATCGTGACTGTACTACATTTGCTATAAGGTAGACCAATACTGCTTTTACTCGACCCTCATTTCACTACTTTCTACCATCTACAGAGATGTAGTTAACGAATTCAACGAGATTCTTGAGTCAAATAGGGCCGTGAATCGTACACCGCGGCAGTGTTTAGCTACCCCGTACCAGAAGTTTAACTTTGGTATAAATGCTCGTTTTAGAGCTATCTCTTCATATTTTACACCGTCTCGTTTCAGACAACAACTTGAAAAAGTCAAACACTTTACCTAACGTTGCTTCTGTTCTGGATATCCCGGTTGGCTGTGGACGGTAACTGTTTTATGCACTCAGCTACTTTCCTCAAGTTCCGACCGCATCTCGCCATCTTCTCTTCTTCTTTAACGGCTTTGTTCACTCCCTCGCTATCAACCAGTTGACAGGGAGCTCAACGCGCAGTTTGGCCCGACCCTCAACTGGCCTAACCCGCTTGCCATTGGACGACCTGAGGCCACCGAATGTTTTTATTGGGCGGTCCCGCCGTTTGTCACGCCAACGTATTCAAGTCCGTGTGCACGAGCTCGCACGCGCATAGAGTCACGAGTTGTTGGCTCGGGTTGCACTACTGAGAAAACCGGGTGAAACCTGTTTGTCTTTGCATATCAAAACTATCAATAGGTCAACGTATTGACCTGTCGGCTACACTACACCTTCTTTGTTGTCATGTATTCCTGCTCTGTTGGGCAAATTTGTTAGAATACAGTTTCTACTATTTTTGAATAACAAAGTGAAAGAAATATTTAAATTTATTTGCAGTAAGGAAGACATTGAAAGTGAAAGTGAACAGGTTTCTGTCTGTGTGCTTTTTTTTAATCTTTTTAAAAATGAAAGGGGAGCTGTTTACTTATACATCAATTCAGGGGTAAATTATGAAAGTTTCTTTGCTTATCGTGATACATTATATTTGTTTTACTAACATGTAAGGTACATTTATTATATATATGAATAAATATTGAAGGAAATGATATATCTTTATCAGCACTGGTGTTCTTATCCAAAATATATGTTATAACATACACTTTAGTAAAGTTCATGAAAGTTAAAAAAAAAAAAAAGTTCAGTGTGGTTTCAGGTTAAACACAGAAACTGTCAATTGTATAAACATTTCTCCCCAGTCAGGGTTGTTTGTGGACACTTTGGCGGCATCATTATTATCCAAACTTTGCCTTCTGTGTCAAGTACCTCACAGCTGGTGGTACAAGTTTTTCCTGCAAGGACATGCATCTTCTGGCATCTTTCTGCTGAGCCACCAGGTAAAACTCAACTGTTTTAAATCTAATCAGTCACTTTCCCCACAGCTATATTCCTCATCCTTCTGTCATGTAGCTTCCTTTTCTAATAACCAAAATGCACGGCTGGTTCCTTAAATTTAATTTTCTGTGAAAAGGAAAAAGCTTCACAATTAGCTCCACAAGTATTGTCTGTAGTAGATGGATATAGCTTTTCTACTCTGCTGGAGCACTCAAACTCAAAGCACTTTATACAGCATGTGCCATTCATACAAGCACTTTTTTCTGTTTTCCAACATTCACACAGATTCATACTCCTATGCATCTGAGAGAAACTCTGTGTTCAGTATTTTGCCCAAGGACATTTCATGTAGCCAGGGATCTAGCCACCAGCCTTTGTGGACCTGCTATACCTTGTGAGCTACAGCCTCGCATGCAGTGTTTCAGATATAGGTCCTCTAGCCAATAGGAGCACAAGAAAATCTAAGAAATAACACCTGGGCATTTATGAGAAAAGGACATAAACTATAATTACAGGTGTTTTGTGCAGACATTTGGGGAAGAAACTTTACCAACCATACATCTCTTTCAAAGAAGCTAGTTTCACGTGAAATACTAGGTAAACACAGATGTTAGTAATGCGAGAGGTTAAATGCCTTAAGTTGAAGTTACAATTCTGAACCAGGTGTTAGAAAAGTCTTATGTTTACCTACTGCTGCATGCCAGAATAGCCCCTGTGAAAAACAAGTCTTCTAATCAACCAAACCTGTCTTATTATCCCTTTCACTTCTGTGGCATACACAGTGAAATTACAGGCTTTTTGGTATACGTTTTTACAAAGTAGCCCAATTATTTAATTTAGGCTACTCCAGGAGACAAAGAAGGAGCTGTGCAAGGAGATATTACTCAGGTGATTCCTGTCAGCAGACATTCTCCATTTCAGTTGATAAACGTCTGTCCTTAAAGGATCAGAGTGCTGCTTCTAGCAGTCTTAAAAAACACCTGGGAAATCTGAATAAAATGAGGAAGGACAATTGGAGGGCTGCGTCAATTAAGACTTTTTAATGGGGTTTAAAAAAAATTAGGCTAGTGGACATTACACATCAAACATGGACGGAAAGTTACATACTAATTGCTTCACTGTATCTACAACTTTTATAAGTATGTCAATATACTACGTCTAATACTAATGCTACTACTAGCAATATACCTACTGAGCGATTGGAAACTGGTCTGAGAACAGCTGGAAAGACACGGAACTCTGAATTAAGTCACATCCGCTTTCAGTCTCGAACAACCGCCACCAAAATGGCGAAGATCGCCAAAACGCACGAAGGTAAATTACTGCTAAAACCTCCATAAATATGTTCTGTTTTACCATGTATTTTGCTTTATGGTGTCAGTAAATATTGCGGTGAATTTTCTGGTATTTCTGTTGACGGTAATGCTCCTGTTTATTTGCGAAAAAGGCGATAAGCACCAGGCCTTATACGACGCAACGCGGAGCTTTAGATAATGGCGCTGGTGGTTAGTGCTTAGCTTTCTTGTTAGCTGGAGTGGACTATTTTTCTCAGCTTATTGCACAGTTGCATGCAATAGTAGGCGCCATTTGGGCTTTTTGTCTTGGTCAGATACGCCTTTAAGCTAGTATTACTTGTTGTTGTTACTGTGTAATCCAAGGGATGGTAATTCTTTAACGTCTCAGTGATTCTCGTGGCTAACCGAGTTAGCATTAGCAACCTCTAACAAGCGTTTACCATGCCTACAGCAATTGGTGTTCGGCAGCAGACTCTGATATTAGCTTCAAAGTCGGTGTTCTGTAGCAAGTATTGGTAATAGTTAACCCTTTTCTGTAAAATATTCTAATGCACTTTTTGGACATGACTTGACTGAGAGTTACATGACCCAGTTTTTGTTTGTGAAAGCAGAAATTATGTCAGTAACGTTTATTTTTAAAGCGCTTTTCACAGGCGTGCATTCATAAAGCCTTGTACTGCAAAATAGAATAAAATAAATACATAAGATTAAAGCAACCTCACAGTAAAGTAAATAAACAGAGTGAGCCAAACTTAATTGTAGTGCGGGACTGTTCCAATGTCTTGGAACAGATCATGTTTACATCAAAAACTACAGTCACATACGGTGATATTAACAGGCAGAGTGTAAGGAAGTATTTGAGCTTGATTTAAGGTGTGAAAGCGCAAATAAAGGCCCGTTTGCTAGTCTTTTCCAATCAGTCCAATTCTCTGTGTGGGGTTAAAGCATTTTTTTAACGACTAAATCTCTTTGAGAGCATCGTTTGCAAGTACAATACCCCATCTGTTTTTTCTCTTTGCTAAGAAACACTGAAGATCCTCCTAATTAAATGTACAAAAATTCCACGATGAAGAGCTAAAGGCTTTTTTTCTTTTTTCCTTTTATGAAGCATTCCTTTGTTTCCCTGTGCCAAGGGATGAACTAAATTTAAAAAAAAAAATATGGGCATGTTATCAAATTTTACAGTACGCTCTATCACACTGGTTTTAAATCCTTATCCAGCACAAACTGAAGTCATGCCTCAGATAAATTTCAGTAAATATAATATTTATAGATTCCATTCACCACTGCTGATATTGGGGCGTATGTCAGTCATCCATGCTTACCTATACAGGTAGTTTTTCACCATGTTTCCTTGTGCCCCTACAGATATCGAGGCCCAGATCCTGGAGATCCAGGGGATGAAGGCCTCCCTGCTGGAGGATGGAGAGCAGGGAGTGGGCCTGATCTCCACTGGCGTTTTTGATCCAGAGATCTATGAAGGCAGCGACAGTCGCTTTGCAGGATACGTTACTTCCATTGCTGCCAATGAGCAAGAGGAGGCAAGTATTTTGATTTTTTTTTTTTTTTTTTTTCCCTTTTCCAAATCAAACAAAGTAGCTTCTTCCAAGAATGCTGTTTTGTGAGCCACAGGTTGTCCTTTGTCAGTTTTGTAAGGAGCTTGACTGCTCCCCTCTGCTTGCTTTGGGGATTTGAGGAGAACCTTGCCAGTTTGGCAAAATTTGAATAGACTCATTTATTCTCTTTCTTACCTCAGGACGATGAAGATGATACGTCAACAAGCTTGTTGGGACAAAAGAAGCCAGGGTACCACGCGCCGGTGGCAATACTTAATGCCATTCCTCAGTCAGATGAACAGGTATGTTCATTCACTGTTTGGGCTAAATTCCAGTTAAAACGGGATTTAATTTTTTAAATGAAAAAACAGGCTTGTACAAAATCCTATTTTACTAATCATCGCATGTTTTGTGCTTAATCTTTGCAGTACGACCCATTTGCAGAGCATCGTCCACAGAAGATTGCAGAGCGGGAGGATGAATACAAGGCTCGGCGCAGACAGATGATCATCTCTCCTGAGCGTCTCGACCCCTTTGCAGATGGTAAATTTTGTTCTTTTGTGACCTTTTTACATCTTCCCAAGTTCCTTGCCTCCTCCCCCTTTTTTCTTTTTCTTTTTCTTCTGTTTTTTGCACCAATAGTTTTTACTGTTCAACCCTTCGACCACAATGCAATAGCTTGCCTCCCAGACTCAATGCCTTCCCTGTGGTCAATCCTTTCCTCATGTACATTTTGTGTCGCTGTTTTTCTCCCACTATAAATTTCCAACTGCTTCCAGCAAATGTCAGTGTGGGCTCACAATTCATTTCCATAATTGCAGTTTGGGACAGTGTTGTTGGGATTTTAATTTGGTGCATGCATTCAAGGTATTATAGGGTTACCATGCTTTTCAGGGGGAGAGGTGGTTAGGTGTTTATTGCCTAACAAACATGGGTTGCAGATGGGTTGTGTGTGGGTCGAAGGGTTAACAACCCAATGTGATTTATGATGGGAAAGTGCAGTGTCCGCTTGTCACAGAAGTTGAGGATGAAGGTTAGCTCATTTAGCTGCCCACGTCCTGTGCTTTACCACACTGGGCACAGCTTTATAGGTGAATATAAAATATATAAGGGGAATATCATTAATATGCTCTGGTGGTAGTTGAACCAGAAGCATAATTTTCTTTTCTTTAAGAGTTAACAGAGAAACTTGAGAGACTTGTCAAACTGCAAATTGTCTTGGGCCTCAGCGTAAAGCGCTGCCTAACAAGTAGGGCTGTCCCGAATATCATATTTTTGAGCTACAGCAATTCAGAGTTGATCAAACTTTGTTTTTCAGATTTTATGAGTGTTACACATAATCGGTCAGAAATTTGAGTGAAGCGTAGTACAGCAAGAACGTTCATATTCATCCTCCTAAGACACAAACTCTTCCATGGCATGCATTTTTAATTTCTCTTTGCTGTTTGGGCTGATTGGGACCTGACAAATGTAAAAACAAAGAATTACATGGATTTTTTTTATTTATTTATTTTTTTACCTGATTTTTGTTTCTGAAAAAAATTGATCCATATATGAGCACATTGGCTTTAAATTTTGATAGAACAGTGGCAGTATAATGTCCTCGTAAGTGGATATCAGGCCCTTGTAGAGCAAAATTTAGTATTTTGGTCTAGACAACCCAAAATGTGATGTCCACATATGTGGACGCCAGGAGGCTAAAAATGTTAAGTGGTATGAATTTGAAATGGTTAAGTAAGCTAAGCAAGATCATCACTGCTGTGAGTGAGAGGGATGTCGGGTAGATGAGCTGAGATGGTACAGTTCTCCCCACATAATAAACATCCAGTGATTGTCTTGAGGAAGGAAGCATGGAGAATCGGCTTATTGTACCCTTCTGCTGCAAAAGACTCATGGGGTATTGTTGTCACCCTACAGGGTGGGTGGGCGGGCAGCGTGGGCACCACGAAGTTTCTGTTTGCAATAACCTGAGAATGCAATCATGGGATTTGTACATTTATACCAAAGGTGCATCTACTAGGTGGATGAGAGGTAGCACTGGAAGCTGCCAGTATTTTTATTACTGTGGCAAAGTCAGACAAAATCACCACACGCATGTAAGGATAATGGCTGTGCTGGGATTGTGGTAGTATGTAAAAGGGTCATTGTAATTAAGTCAGACGTTTAGGCTCCGTGGGACAGCAAGGTGCTTTGCCATAGAGCAGTACTGTCCATTGACTTTCTGCATGTTGTGGCAGTTGCTTATTTATAACAGTGAGGTGAGATGATCATTGTTGCAGTGTAGATTATTGTCACATTCTTATAAATCCATGTTGGTAAACTGAATACACACACAGTTCATACATTTCCAAATAGTGGAATATTCGGGTACAGCCCTAATGACAAGTTATTCTTTCCAATGTGGCCAGCTTTCCTACACATTTTTCTCATCTTTTAGGCTGAGCCTGTGTAGCTTATCATGACGACTAGTGCTCGGACTGAAAACCAGAAACTGTAGCTGTGAGCCAGCTATCTTACCTCTTTCCATATTTATTGCATCTTCACTTCCCCTGACACTGTGAGCTTAAATGGCCTGAATGTCTCAGGTTTGGTCTAGGTATATTCAACCTGCATGTAGAGAGGGCTCTTTGTACAAAGTTGTTGTTTCAGTAGAGTTTTATTTTACAACTCTCTCTGTAAAATAGAAATATGTTATCAAGAAAATTGTGTACCAAAATACCACAGGCCCATACTAACTGTCCTTAATTTCTCTCCTACAGCAGTACTGCTTTGCCAGTCCTGTACTGCACTCTGTTAAGGGTGCAGCAACTCATCCTGTGTAGGTTATGGGGAACACTGAGAACGGTGCACTTGTCAGTTTGGTCAGGGTCCATTGGCTGCTTGTTTTGGTGGGAGGCTGTGAGGGGAATCAGATGCAACCCAGCTACAACAAACCTCAGCTCTCCCAGCAGCCTCTTTTGAATTTGGCTTATCGGATTCCAACAAGTTGACATAAAATATTCCCGTAATGGAAGCAGACTGCCCAAATATTTGATTACATAAATTTATCTCTGTCCCAAAAAGGAAGTCAAGATCTTGATGTATGATGTTTAAATAATGAGTCCATGTGACTCTGGTATTATCAATATTTTTTTTCTAGTTTTGAATGCAAACACTCACATTTGATTTTATTGTGCTAATGTCCTTCTTAGGCATAGCCTCAAAGTCTTGACTTCATATTTATCTGCTACTGTAAATCCCTGGGAAACTGGACCAAAATATCATGGGATTTTTTTCTAGATTGTGCTAATACCCCAAGAAGATGCTTTATTTTTTTTTTTTGCCTTAAATCAATGCATCACAATGGTATACTGTTGTGTGTGAGTTCAAACCCTTTTCCAAAGTGTTACTAATGGTAAAGAGAAATTTTCTAGGCTTCTTTTCTGCCGGTTGAAGTCTGACTGCAGATGGACCCTTGGCACTGAAAGTGTACGTATTCTGAAGAGCACAGCCCAGGACCCCTGCATCAGTGATGGCTATACTTCTTAATCCACTTAAAGAAAACACCACAACCTCAGCTCTTCTTTCTATGTATCTTCTTGTTTTTCATTAGAATGCTATGACTGTATGTAAGAAAGCCAAATGTACATTTGTATGTAATTTATTAGGACTGTCAGTCAGCTGTTTATCAGAGCAGGAACATAAGTTAAACTGTTGGTAACAAGAGTCAGGGTTAGCTGGCTGTGTTTGTGCTTGCTGTGTTTGGAATAACTCGGGGTTGTGGAGCGTACGCTGATGAGTATCCTATGTTCTTGTTCATGCTCTTTCGCGCAGGGGGCAAAACACCGGATCCCAAGCTGCAGGTTAGGTCGTATGTGGACGTCATGTTGGAGCAGAACCTGTCCAAAGAGGAGGTAAGATGCTGTTTATCTACACATTATCATCAGATATCAGAAACGGTCAGATGACAGTCCTTTAAGGCTAATTTAAACCTAAATGAGAAACCGCAAACCAAAACTGAACCTGGAAAAATAAACACTCCTTGTAAATCCTTCTTTCCTGCTTGATGTGTTTATATGGTTGGCAAACCAACACAGTGTCTGTAGAAATATCAGACCACTGCCACAAAGATGATCTGGTATAGTGAAGACTCATCTCCACTGTTGTAAACTGCACTTGCAGTGGTCCCTTTTCTTCTCTTGAAGCGCTTCTTCCATTAATACCTACTCTGATCTGATCGGCTCGACTCGTTTTTCAGTATAATCGAGTACCGCATAATGTGTGTGGGGTTGTTATAGCAACGTGGCTGTACGTCCCATGATGTTATTTGTATGCGAAATGAACACCACAACAAAAGTGAACGTCAAGACGACGGCATACCTGCTGCTCGGTCTGTGGCTTTCCATCAGACTCATCATCAGGGACCGCGGTGTTGTTTCTGTGCAGCTGATTCCCTCGTTCCTGGATTTCAAAAATGGCAGGAGACACTCATGACTCATCGAGTGATGCCACTGCAGTGTGACGGCGCCACATTTTAGTACCCGCTCCGATCACTTGGACACCCTGCAAAGCAAGTGCTAAAAAATGGTACAGGCACTAAGGTTTAATTGAAAACTGTGGCAAACCGTGACGAGTCGATCCGAGTAGGAACTAATGGAAAAGGGGCTATAACTGCAACCTGCATCAGATGGAGGACTTCATTTACTGCTACCCTCAAACTCAGTACGGCTGCAGAACAAGGACTACTGTTACCAGCTGAAGTTCAGTGAATCCAAAGTTAATCCACAGAATGTGAGACTCCCTGTTGGAGAAGGTGCTTATGTCGCCAAGTTATTAGTCATAAAGTAATTGACAAATAAAATATTTTCAGCGGAGAAAAATTTAAATTAAATTATTTCATCATTAATTTTAACAAAGTGTGTGTGCCATTCATATCCACACACATGTGCACATGCAAACAACACCGCAGCACAAATCAAATCAAGCTTTTTGAGACTTGCTGTCATCTGTATGAAATGATCCATAGGTGTTCAGTGGAGTTGAGCTCTTGGGTGTGAGGCTGTAACAGGATTCATAGAAATTTCATCATTTTCAAATGAGTTCTTTAAGCCTTTGTCTCTGTTTAGATAAAATGAACAGACACAGTCACCAGATATCTTTACAGTCTTTCATATCCATGAACTCTGTATTTATCCTGACATTTGTGCATTTGTTCATGTAGAGAGAGATTCGTCAGCAGCTGGCAGAGAAGGCCAAATCAGGGGACCTGAAAGCTGTTAATGGGTCTGCTGCTGCCCAAGCTGTCCCTAAACGTAAGCGTCGCTGGGACCAGACAGCTGACCAAACCCCCTCCAATGCTACACCCAAAAAGATGTCCAGCTGGGACCAAGCTGATGCCAGTGCTGAAGTAAGCTTAAAGAATATCACCCAGTAATAAAACATAAATCTGTCTTGCATATCAGTTTTCTCACTGATGTTTCTGGTCCCTTGCAGACTCCTGGACATACCCCTGCGCACACACCTTCAAACAGCCGATGGGATGAAACCCCCGGCCGCCCTAAAGGCAGTGAAACCCCAGGGGCCACTCCCAGTTCCCGAATGTGGGACCCGACTCCTAGCCACACGCCTGCCGGTGCTGCCACACCAGGGAGAGACACGCCTGGCCATGCCACACCTGGTCACGGGGGAGCCACAGGAAGCGTTCGCAAAAATCGCTGGGACGAGACTCCAAAGACTGAGAGGGAGACCCCAGGACATGGGAGCGGCTGGGCTGAGACCCCAAGAACAGATAGAGGAGAAGAGTCAGTGGGCGAAACTCCGACTCCAGGAGCCAGTAAGAGGAAGTCTCGGTGGGATGAAACCCCTGCCAGCCAGATGGGCTCCTCAACACCACTTTTTACCCCAGGAAAAACTCCCATAGGCACACCAGCTATGGAATTGCAAACCCCAACTACAGGTAAACAGCCTTACTCTGTTTTTATTATTATTATTAGTCTTTCTTCTACTTGATTATAAACAATTAATCTCCTGTTTTCTTCAGCACACATGACTCCAGAGCAGCTGCAGGCATGGAGGTGGGAGAGAGAAATTGATGAGAGGAACCGACCTCTAACAGACGAGGAGCTGGATGCCATGTTCCCAGAGGGCTACAAGGTCCACGTCTATTTGATGCATTTCATTTTCCAGCAACAAGCAGGAAGGTCATTTATTAGACTGCAGTGCTGACAGGTGTTTTTCTTCACAGGTGTTGCCTCCTCCTGCAGGCTACGTGCCTATCCGTACCCCAGCCCGTAAGCTGGCGGCCACGCCCACACCTATTGGAGGCATGACGGGCTTCCATATGCAGGCAGAGGATCGCACCACAAAACAGATGAATGACCAGCCCTCAGGAAATCTCCCTTTCCTCAAACCTGATGACATCCAGTACTTTGACAAACTGCTGGTGAGCATCAGCAGGGATAAAATAATGGCACAGTCAGTGTGAGCCAGGTGTTTGTTGTGTCTGAGGTTCATGGTTTTTGTCTTGGTGCTAGGTGGAGGTGGATGAGTCCACTCTGAGCCCCGAGGAGCAGAAAGAAAGGAAGATTATGAAGCTGCTGCTGAAGATTAAAAATGGAACTCCTCCCATGAGAAAGGTTGGGTTTTAATACTTTGATTAATTATTCTTGCTTGTGGCCAAACTTGAGCTTTGGAACAGCATTAAAGTTTCCAGTTACAAGATCAACACCCAGCACCGAGGTTTTGTGGCTACAGGGTGAATATTTGCTCGCTACACAACATTCTCTCTGAGGAGCTGCTGCTTACAGCAGAGGTCACAGTGTAGACCTTCATGCTCTGCTGTGAGCTGCACACAGAAACCACCCGGTCTCATCTTATCATGACAAGTACCAGGTTCCTCTAGAGTTTTAATCACTATTCACAGCGGAATAAAACCCCAGCTTCAAATCTGACTTTTAAAAAGGTTTTGCTGATTTTGCCCCAGAATAAGATTTTAAAAAGCTTTTCCTGTCTGCAAGTTATAAGTCTTTGTAGAGTTCTCATACAGGTTTTGTTTCAGGTTTCTTTGAGTATGAAGTCTCTCCTGTGTTGTTTAGTAACAGATTTGCCAAATATACTTCAGAATTTGACCATTATCTGACTGGCTGACCTTCTCTTTCCTCTTAGGCTGCTCTGCGTCAGATCACAGATAAAGCTCGTGAATTTGGAGCAGGTCCCCTGTTCAACCAGATCCTGCCCCTGCTCATGTCCCCCACCCTGGAGGATCAGGAGCGCCATCTTTTGGTTAAAGTCATTGACCGCATTCTCTACAAACTGGATGACCTGGTCCGACCATATGTTCACAAGGTGGGCTCAATGTGAACGATCATCTGTGACAGCTCAGTTTAAATGTTCAGTGGTTTCTCAGTGTCTTTGACAATCTAAATGTCCTTTTTCTGCATGCAGATCCTGGTGGTTATTGAGCCGCTGCTCATCGATGAAGACTATTATGCCAGAGTGGAAGGCAGAGAGATCATCTCTAACTTGGCAAAGGTAACATGGAGCACCTTATTCTTTTTGTCTTTTTATCCCATAAACTATATGGACTGTGGTTTGTGCGAACCATTCTCGCCTGTTCAGCCAGTCCGTGGTCAGATCAGGGCTAGTCGTTCGCTAGATTAATACCAGCATGAGAGCTAGCAGACGGGACTTTTATGCCTCGTCTGTTCTCAACCTGCACCCGCTGGTTACAATCCGCCATCATTAGCTGTTTATGTTCTGTCACCATGTCTGCTCAGCATATCTCTGATCTGTAGCAGCATTTAAACTTGGCTCGAGGCATGTTTGTGAGGTTAAATGATTGAAAGCTTGGTGTCTTTCCTCTGTGTGTCTCAGGCTGCTGGTTTAGCTACTATGATCTCCACGATGCGACCTGATATTGACAACATGGACGAGTATGTCAGAAACACCACCGCCCGAGCCTTTGCTGTTGTAGCCTCCGCCCTCGGGATCCCCTCTCTCCTCCCTTTCCTGAAAGCTGTGTGTAAAAGCAAGAAGTCCTGGCAAGCTCGGCACACAGGCATCAAGATTGTGCAGCAAATCGCCATCCTCATGGGCTGCGCCATTCTGCCTCACCTTCGCAGTTTGGTCGAGATTATTGAACATGGTAAGTGAACTTAAACTGTTCGTAGCGTTAAATAGTACAGAGTTCAAAGCACTGGCATCCACAGGCTTATTATGTGGATGAGTACGTTCTCAGTTTGTGAATTTGAGCAGAATGCAGGTGTACACCTTTAACTATTCTAACTAGTAAATGCGTAACTGCTAATTTGCCCAATTTTTCATTCACATGACGTGTTTTGTTTTGAGTATACGTGGTTTGCTGTTGTTGTTAAAATGCATTGGAGCTCTGACCATCGACTATTCGACTCTGCAGGGCTTGTGGATGAGCAGCAGAAGGTGAGGACCATCAGTGCCCTGGCTATAGCTGCCCTGGCTGAAGCTGCCACACCATACGGTATCGAGTCCTTTGACTCTGTGCTGAAGCCACTGTGGAAAGGCATCAGGCAACACAGAGGAAAGGTGAGCAGGAAATTTGGAAAAAGCATTCACAGCATTGAGCGCAAGATCAGCACCCAGCACTAAGCCTGCCTGTGGCTGCAGTGTGAATACTTGCTTGCTATAGAGTCTCCTCAAAGGAGCTGCTGCTGTCAGCAGAGGTCTAATGAGAGACCATTAATATGCTGCTGGAAGCGTCGGACATTACCAGTTATTGTAAAGGGAAAATATGTGAAACATGTCTGCGATTGTGTCTTATGTTATCCCCTTTGGTCACCAGGGTCTGGCTGCTTTCCTCAAAGCTATTGGTTACCTCATCCCACTGATGGATGCTGAGTATGCAAACTACTACACCAGAGAGGTGATGCTGATCCTCATCAGAGAGTTTCAGTCCCCTGACGAGGAGATGAAAAAGATTGTGCTCAAGGTAAGGAGACTGTCTGTGAGGAAGCACCTCCAAACTGTCAACTAACTTCCTGTAACTCGTTCTCACCTCTTCAGCCACATAGGTGATGAACATTGTTTGCTACATGAGCACCAGGATTGCCAGAGCAGCTGCTAGCATGTCCGCTCTGCTGTCTTTCTGCACCCATTGGTTACATTATGGTAACTTTCTGGATGTCACAAGAAACTCATCAGTTTCCCTTCTGTCTGCCTCATAGGTAGTGAAGCAGTGCTGTGGCACAGATGGTGTTGAGGCCAACTACATCAAGACTGAAATCCTGCCCCCCTTCTTCAAGCATTTCTGGCAGCACAGGATGGCTCTGGACAGACGCAACTACAGACAGGTTCGCAAAACATATTCTTCAGCTTAAAATATATTTGAAAATCTAATATTGTCAAAATAGCTTAGAAAAGGAAATGTGTGGTTGGCTCTTTTTCCTAAAACTGCTGATCTTAGCCCGTTTGTGGGGTTTTTGTGTTTTTGATGTATGAGATTAGGGCTGCCACAAACGATCATTTTGATAGTCACCTACTCACTGATTATTTTTGCGTTTAGTCGACTAATCAGATCATGTCCATTGGACATAAAACGTACAGCTTATTGCACCAGCATGCATCTGCTCTTATATAACTATCATTAGCTTACAGCTAGAAGTGTTTAAGGTATGTGCTAACTAAAAATAAAAACAAGATGATAGTTTCTTAAATTTTAATGAAATTTGCAGATTGTTTCGTTGGAGTTTAATAAACTCAGCCGCCTGCTCCTTGCTATCTAAAATATAACAGGACCGGAGTATATTCTTGAGCATCTCACACTTCTGATAATCAGCTGTCTGCTTGATGTTTATTCAGCTGTGTAAAAACTATAACTTTAATCTCAGCCAAACCGATTTACTCAGGAACAAATAAAATACTGAAAAAAGCCAAACAATAACATTTTTAAGTTATCTAAGTCAGCGGTCTCCAACCTTTTTTTGCGCCACGGACCGGTTTGTGCCCGACAATATTTTCACGGACCGGCCTTTAAGGTGTCGCGGATAAATACAACAAAATAAAACTAGTACCGGTACCGAAAAAAAGATTTATTCATAACACACGTGAAAAGACCCAGGAAAACAGAGTTAACGGTACAAACGATAACAAAATAACTCTGAAAACAGATTTAAAAACCCTGAAAACCATACATTTCACACCTGAGCTTCAACTCTCGCGGCCTGGTACCAAACGACTCACGGATCTGTACCGGTCCGAGGCCCGGGGGTTGGGGACCGCTGATCTAAGTGACTTATGTATCATGTTAACCTGAGTAGGGAAAGACGGCGTTGGGTTTGAAAACGATTTGCTGGGAGTCCGGTGTTCTCACAGGCTCTAGTGAGCCTTGCCCCCAGCTGGTGGGTAACAGATGTCTCTGAAAACGTCAGAGCACTTTTGAAAATATGTGGTGTCTTGATAAACTGAGCAGATATTTGAGGTTTACACAGCTACATTCCCGCCTGAAAATATGTTAAACGTTTATTTTGTGCCCAGAAAGAATAATAAGAGTAATATTAAAACTAACTAGCTGCCGCCATTGTTGGAAACTGAGCAGGTATACACCCGACCCGTCCTTCAAATCTGGGGAAATGAAGGGCGCATTTGTCAGAGTCTTCGAATTTGGACGGTCTTCGTCGTGTCGCTGTAACGTAATCGGCCTACAAATGCGGGCACTGGAGGATGCGGTTCCTGAATTTGGACACCGCTACGATACCGGGCACAGCTTCTTCTTCGGGGTTTCCTGTATTTGCTTCAATCGACTCTGTCGTCTGCCTGTCATGTGACTCTACTAGTGGAAAATAATGGTGTGCACAAAATAGACCAACAGATCTGATCACACAACTCAAATAGACATTTAGGTTATAATCTAGTCGGCAGTTAAACACACCGTGTCCTTAGAGTTGTCTGAAGCTTTGCACACTCGTCTCAAGTTATTATCTCTTTGTCCAGCTGGTGGACACCACAGTGGAGTTGGCTAACAAAGTGGGAGCAGCAGAGATCATCTCACGTATCGTTGATGACCTGAAAGACGAGGCAGAACAGTACAGGAAGATGGTGATGGAGACCATTGAAAAAATCATGGGCAACTTGGGCGCAGCTGACATCGACCACAAGCTGGAGGAGCAGCTGATCGACGGTATTCTGTATGCCTTCCAGGAGCAGACGACAGAGGTGAGAGGGAGTTATAGAGAAGTGGGTTTTTTTCCACAATATTTTGTTTCTTGTTTTGTTTCATACTCCATGCTCTTTGGTCTGCAGGATTCTGTCATGCTGAATGGTTTCGGTACAGTGGTGAATGCTCTTGGGAAGCGCGTGAAACCCTACCTGCCACAGATCTGTGGTACTGTACTGTGGCGTCTCAACAACAAGTCGGCCAAGGTCCGTCAGCAAGCTGCTGACCTGATCTCCCGCACGGCTGTGGTCATGAAGACGTGCCAGGAGGTACATTCAGCCTATACAGCATCCGAGACAAATATGTAACAGAGTCCACACACTGACCTCTTCTGCTTGTCCCTGTCCCTGCAGGAGAAGCTGATGGGTCATTTGGGAGTCGTGCTGTACGAGTATCTGGGAGAGGAGTACCCTGAGGTGCTGGGCAGCATCCTTGGAGCGCTGAAGGCCATTGTGAACGTCATTGGTATGTAACCTTCACCGATCACAGGTGTATTTTATTGATAGGATGTAAATAAACGTCTTCACATTTGGTTTCATCTTGGTTCCTGAACTTCGCAGTTGTTAGTTTTGACTGCTTCCGTCTTCCTTTTGGAGCCAAAAGTGATCATGGTTACACAAGAGGGTGGAGTGCTAAGCTATCAGCTAACACTAGCAAGCAGCATTCATAAAGTGGACAGCTGTCTCACACAGATGCACATACCTGCTAATTTGTATTAGAACACTCACCACAACTGAAACAGAGCTGAAGGCCTAGCGGGCAGTTACAGCCGCGACCCTCCTAATTCTTGTATCTCGGTGGATGAGTTATAAAAAAAATAATTTGTAGAGCCCCTAGGCTCTGTACTAGGCTTTGGTACAGAGTTTGACTGTCATTGAAGCTCGATAGCAATCAGTGCACCTTTGAGAGTTTGATAGTAAAAATGTAGCAACAGCTACAGTAACATCTTCCCACCTCTTGTTCTGTTCTAAGTAACAAAATTTACCTGCACCTCAGTCCCATCTCAGGGTGTGGAAAAGGACCCGTGCTGATATCTGACCTCATTTTTAGGCATGCACAAGATGACCCCACCAATCAAAGACCTGCTTCCTCGTTTGACTCCCATCCTGAAGAACAGACATGAGAAAGTCCAGGAGAACTGCATCGACCTGGTGGGCAGGATCGCTGACAGGTCAGTGGTGACAAGCCTCAACCTCAAGGTTTGTGGATATGATTGCGTCCTTTTCTAACTTTTATGTGTATTTTTAGGGGTGCTGAGTACGTGTCTGCCAGGGAGTGGATGAGGATCTGTTTCGAGTTGCTAGAGTTGCTCAAGGCACACAAAAAGGCAATTCGCAGAGCCACCGTCAACACGTTTGGTTATATCGCCAAAGCCATCGGGTGAGTACCTTCTGTCACGTACACACCTTTTACATGTAAGGTTTCATCTTCGTTTTGTCTCGGCTGTACGCATTAAAGTGGATCTAAAATGTTTTTCTCTCGGACCTTCCTCCCTGCAGTCCTCACGATGTCTTGGCCACTCTGCTCAATAACCTTAAAGTCCAGGAGCGACAGAACAGGGTCTGCACGACCGTAGCCATCGCCATCGTTGCTGAGACCTGTTCACCCTTCACGGTGCTGCCGGCCCTAATGAACGAATACCGCGTGCCTGAGCTCAACGTGCAAAACGGTGTACTGAAGTCCCTCTCCTTCCTGTTCGAGTACATTGGAGAGATGGGCAAAGACTACATCTATGCCGTCACGCCGCTGCTGGAGGATGCTCTCATGGACAGGTATCAGCATGGTTTAATTTGACTGATTAGTTTTGATAAAAACTGTTGCAGGGGAAGTATTCATATCTTTTCAAACTCTTTACCCACACGTGAGGGTTAAAGACATCAGTGAATCCTGCACCTTATGTGTTTCTGTGTTCTGCCCCCCTGCAGAGACCTGGTCCATAGACAGACAGCCAGCGCTGTGGTTCAGCACATGTCCCTCGGTGTCTACGGTTTTGGCTGCGAGGACTCCCTCAACCACTTGTTGAACTACGTGTGGCCCAACGTATTTGAGACGTCACCTCACGTCATCCAGGCTGTGATGGGCGCTTTGGAGGGGCTGAGGGTCGCTCTCGGGCCCTGCCGCATGCTGCAGTACTGCTTACAGGTCAGGACCAGAAATTGGAATTATGAAAAGAAAAAAAAAAAGATGTGTGTCAGGATTTTTGTCTGCACACTAGTGCTGTCAGCTAAAAGATTATTCATACAGAAAAGTCACACAGATTCAAACATGCACATGCTACAACCACAAGAGAGCAGACCGGGACAAGAAATGGAGTTACTCGTACAGCTGCATTTTAATATAAACACGTCTCTTAAGAGCTACACAGTAAAGTTATAGAGGGAGGATATTTGATAGAGCTCTGCTGTGGAAACATGGAGAAGTGTTCTTCTTTTACTCAGCACTATCAGGAGTCAAACATCACAAAGCTTAGCTCCATAAAGACCTTTTCATGAACCTATTCAGCTTTCATACAGCAGTAACACTTCCACATATTTCTACAAACTAACAAAATGCAAGTATTTTCCAATGTTGACAGAAGGTTCGAACCTTCTGTCAACATTGTAGATGCTGTTTACCTCGACCTCAATCTGAATTCACACTTTGTGTGTTACTACATGTGGCTAAATCATTTACTGGTTATACTCTACTCATCACCTGCAGTATAGAGTGTGTGAAGTGTAAAGCAATGAGAGCTGCATCTTGTATGCATGACAGAAGATTAGAGCTTCTTTAAGCCCTCAGCAGTGCTGGGATTTGCAGCTGTTCCAGTGGAAATCCAGCTTTGCTCTCTGTGCTGCTTTTCACGAGTGAATATTTAATTCTTTCTTTAGAGAGAGATAAACAGATACAGAGACAGAGTCAGAAGCAGTTTTGACTAAGTTCTGGTCACCTGGGGGTTAAAATGGGCCCAACTTTAAAAGTTTGAATCATTGTGTTTGTATAAAGCGTAAACTCAAAAACTGTCTGGCGTTCTGCAGGGTCTGTTCCATCCAGCCAGGAAAGTGAGGGACGTCTACTGGAAGATCTACAACTCCATCTACATCGGCTCTCAGGACGCCCTGATTGCTCACTACCCACAGGTCTACAACGACGACAAAAATGTCTACGTCCGCTACGAGCTCGAATACACCTT